TTTTTTGATACCCTTTCACCAGTTAAATTTGACACATTTTGATTAGATGTCAGGATGATTTGTTTTGATTAGCATAGTAGATGCATACTCATTGTCACTGTCACTTATTGTCACCAAGAAACATACTCCATCAGCCTACTTATGTTTAAATGAAGCAGTTAGGCAAGATCGAGAAGTTATAAAAATGTGCGATTCTTGTGCGCTTCTCTTGCTGAAATATGCCAAATAATTTGACCACTTTGCGTCACTCTCCGTAGGTTCTTGGACGACTTTCGAAGAGCATGAAGTGTCCGATGCCAGCGATTAGCTAACGTACTTCCAACGTTCAGCAAGCACAACCATCATTGCTTTGTGATATCTTTATTATAAATTTCTAATTTTAGTTTAGACTGATTAATTGAGTATTTGAACAGTATTTCTTGTTCTCCTGTAAACTCTAGTGGCTACTTGGTAATAAATAATTGAACTGCCTTCTGCCTCCTTTGGTAATCACGTGAATTTCCAACTGCGATTCCGCTCCCGTACTTCGCACTTCGTACCGCAACAACTCGTAGTCCGTGCATGCAAGTTCATCCTGCAGAATCCTGTAACAATCCTCTCTGATCACTTGCGTTTAAAGGGCAGCTTCGATGATTTCCTCCACAGCTTCAGACAGCAACGTTCTGAAGTTGGCGTCAGTTTCAAACAGTTCCAACGCGAACGGGGCTTTGTCCACGAAAATGAAGTTTTTGTATGCCTCCTTGTCGGTTACAAGCTTCTTGTAGAAGTCCTTGTTGCCGCATTGTTGCAGTCGCAGCAGTGCGCCGTGGATTTTAATTTCGGGCATGATGAAGCTGACTGATTTCTGGAACTGTTCATAAGACATTCCTATTGAAGTGGCGTCGATATTTACGCGCTCCAATTCTTTTGCTAAAGCGTCGTGGTAGAATTTTAGGTAGAAATGGAACTTTTCTTGCCTCACTTGGCGGTTGGTTGTTAAGGCCAAGAACATTAGGACATCGTGCGCAGGTACATGGTAGCGGATTAGTTGAAAGTCCACTAAAACAGCCTTGATGGGTTTGTGGCCTTCGTACTGGAACATGACGTTTTTGGCCCATAAATCCCCATGGGCCAACACGTTTCGGAAGGTGGTTTGTGGGCACATTAATGCCAAGGCCTTTGCAGCCAGCGTGTCAAACTTCTGTTGAACTTCCTCCAACGCTACTTGATTCTTCGGGTGAACTTTGCCAATTAGAGCTTTGAGGCCTTTCATGGCGGCCTTGAAGAAGTCGTAGCCGAGAAACCCGTTTTCCCGTCTGAGCAATGGCTCTTTGACCAGTTGCTCTTGACCAGTAAATAATCTGAACGGTTCTCCCAGCCGTTTTGACTGATATTCTTCATAAGCAAGGCTCCCGGCGTGAAATTTTGCCAAACTGGCCAGCGCCAGGCAGATATGTTCATTGTCCAGAAGGTTCAAGTTGGCCTGTCTGGGTAAGTCGTAGTTTCGCAAAGTCAGATCTTCAAACACTAGCACATCGTCTGGCTTACCCAAGAAGCATTCAGGCACAAAGTCAAGCTGATAGTCTGGAAGGGTTTGCTTGATGGTCGGGAGGAAGGTTTGGAAACAGTAAATTTCCCTCTGCCATCCGTTCATAGATCTCAGAAACTCACTTTGCAACGGATGTGTGCTGGGGAATTTCTTCAGGAAGAACCGAAGTGTTTGGATTTTGCCCTCTAGCAGCACGTTGATAGTCAGGAAAAGGTGTTCGCCCAGGAAGCCGTTTACTTCATCAAAAAATTGACCCGTTTGGTAGTCGGTGATTTGGAAAAGTTCACGCTTCAGGTGGTTTTTCACTACAATTTGGCAGTCTTCGCGGGTCACAATTTGGCTAGTCATCTTGCACAACTCTCAGATATACTGATGTTGAACTAAATACTAAAACAAATTGCTTGGTTGATAACGCAAGGTTATCTTAAGGCTAATTGGTTGGTGTTCAATGTGATTGCTTAGCTTAAACACTTTGACTGCATGCGGCAAAACGTTTCCTCATTGATGGGATTGTTTCTCAAGCACATTTGGGGAGGTTTAGCAGGTATTTTTAGTTTTTACCTAGTTATACATCACATTTATTAGGGCAATTTGGTAACAATCCAGGGCAGCCTTCCAGTCTTTTTGTAATGATAGTAGTCGTACGCCAGTTTGCCCAGAACAAAAATAATCAGAGACGCCAAAACTCCGTTGAGTAGATCCAAGGCTTCTTGGATTGTATACTCTGAGGGTGAGTGGCAAACTGCTGTTCTTGAAAGATCTATTACCTGCATGAAAACTTGTTTAAAAATCTATAACGCCAAGAGAATGGGTCAAGGCTTACAGGAATTAAGGAATTGTCCGAGTCCTTCGCACACCTTATGTCGCGAAGATCGATTATTTGTGGCGCGTATTTCTGAAGCATTTCCTGCAAATAGACGAAGCGACGGAACAATGCGAAAATCTCTCTTCAAATTTATTTGGGCTTACCTTAAATCTTGGCGCAAACAAGCAGTCACATCTCCAAGGATTTCCACCTAAAAATAGTCTAACAGCATTAGGCATGTTCGTGTTGTGCTCCAAAGCGTTATCAATCGCATATGCTGGAATCTACAAATCATTGTTCATCAATTACAATTGAATAGTAGTTTTTGATACAAAGCGAAAAGTGTCGACGTTCTGCGGCGTCTGTCAATCCGTCAGCAGTTCGAAAAACGGATTTTCGCCCTCGTATCGAACAATATTTTTTAATCGAATGAAGGCGATAACACGAATCATAAGTTTTACTAAATAAGAATAGCTAAAAATAAAAGGCTGCAACTTCAAATTTTAAATTTGATGTCAATGCCATTTTTGAAATTGTCAGGTTTTGACGTTTCTATACATATGCATGAAATTTGCGCTATTTAAAAAAATCGTGCTTTGCAAGTGGCAACATCGGCGAGCGCAGAAAAATTGGCCATTAGAACGACTTTAACTCTTGACTTTACGACTCGTAACAGAGTTATAATTTACAAATTGTAAGTAAAATTTAAATTATGATCAATAGTTGTCGATAAACCTACGTAATTAATTAAGATAGCGTGTCGGTTACTTTTGAATGAAAATCCTTTAAAAAGTATAATGACAGTGACCGGTTCAATTTGTCACTTTTACTTTTGCGCACATGTGCATTTATTCGAATAAAATGTTGAATTTTCAACTCTCATTGGTTAATTTGTATATGCTTACAAAAGGACGCTTTTGAAAAATTACAAACGTTAAAACGAGACATTTTTTGACAACAAGCAACCGAGGGCGAAATTCCGTTTTTCGAACTCCTGACGGATTGACACTCTTGACGGCGTCTCGAGTGTCAGACGCCGCCCTCGTTCGAAAAACGAGATTTTTCATCCTGGTATCGTAAACTACTATTTATTGTATTTCTCAAAGTCGCTCTAAGTAGTATTTTACAAGGAATGCCGTCGCTCGATGGTAAAAACAAAAAACGTACCTCAGTAATTTCGTTATTCCTCAACGAAAACACTCTGAGGTGAGTCAACCAGTAGGAACCTTCTAGATTGTTGATACTAGTGACGATATTGTTGTCCAAATAGATATCCAGCACATCGCTAGAACGACAGATAAAAAAATCGTATCTTCGAAACAGCAAACTCCTTTAGATTTATACCGGTAGATTGGGTTGGTTCTTAACGCGTCCAAGTCTTTAATAAAGTTGCCTTCTAGATGGAGGATTTTCGTTTTGGGGGGGAATTTTGAGGGTAGTTCCACAAAGCCGCGAAATGAACAGTTCACTTCGATGATTGGCTCCAAAACCCCCGTTTCCATGTCCGTGATGCATTTGATTAAGTGACAGGAACAATTCGGGGTGCAACTGTCTCGAGTTATCTGCAAAAACACTGTTTCTTTAAGGGAGTTTTTCAGTTGTGATCATCATTTATCTGGCTTTAGGATCAGTTCACAGGACAATTGTTGAGGTGCAAACTTCTGCATCGTACATTCAAGGGCGGATCCAGCTTGGCGCAAGATTATTACAAAATTTCATGTTTTCCGTCTCGTTTTGCATGTTTCTCGGAAGCAAAATGAGCAAGAACGCTCGTTTTTACATCTTTCCAGAGATAACGAAATGGCCTTTATTCGAAGTTTCTCAATAACCATTCGAGCCACAGAATTCGTTTTGGCATCGTTGGATAGAGAATTGATAAGTCCATTCAGTCGTAACAACGCGGGTGAGGAAATTCGAGGAGTTTTGACCCAGAAAGCGAAATTTGAACATCAAACACTCCGGTTCACGATTATGCCAAAATTTCATGTTTTCCGTCCCATTTTTTGATCATTTCTCGGAGGCAAAATGAGCAAGAAAGCTCATGTGTACATCATTCTAGAGAGAAATAAATGACCTTTTTAGAAAGTGAACCATGGATGGGGAAATGTTGGCAGTTTTCTCAAAAAATGCTTGAATTCAAGAAGTTTTAGATTTGCGTGGTTTTTTTTTGAGTTGCAAAATCCACTTGAACATGACGCTGTTTGTTTCGAAATTTCTCAAGAACCATTCGAGCCACAGAATTCGTTTTGGCATCGTTGGATAGAGAATTGAATGATGGGGGTCATAGGGGTCATGATCCCCATGACCCCCCCTGGATCCGCCCTTGCGTACATGTCAAATATCTAGTGACTCTCCCTACCTTGCGAAATTGCGCGATAGCCAACACTGGCTTGTTATTATGGGGCATTTTGAAGCATCTGAGCTGCTCCAAATCCTTGAATACTTGTCGGTTTACTTTCAGTGCCCATTCCAGGCTGTTCGAGCAGTTCCATTGGTTAGCTAAACGTTGAATTAGTGCAAACGTGCAAATTGATTGCCTACGGGTCCATACCTGATAAGTACACGCTTCCTAGCCCAGCAAAGGAAAACTTCGGAAATTCACCCAAGAAGTTTCCCGATATGTTCAGAGTGTCCAAAAATGGAAAGTGGCTGGTGAAATTGTCAGGGAAGTTCGTGATTTGCAAACTGGATAAGTGGATAATCTACAAAACGCTCATGATTTTGATGATTTTTCGGCAAAAGCAACTAGTCACCTACTCGAAGGTCCAGAGGCGTATCGGGCAGTGTAATCTTGTGAACTTTGGTCAAATTGGTGCCAACAACGCTCAACAGTCGCAAATTGGGAAATTTTTGATGCACCACATTGAAATCCAGCGTTTCCCAATCGACTTGCGTTACATTCAGCCAAGTGATCGAAGGAAAATCGTCAATGGGGATGTTTTTTTCGCAGAACAGTTTCGTGTCCTTTCGGGTGCAGTTTGCTCGCTTTTCTGCCACAGTTGCGACGATAAAATTCGCAAAAACACACCTGCAAACATGGGAAATTTTATACTGAAAAAAGCAATAAATACGCGATTAAGTTGATAACATCGGACGTTATAAATAATGAGAATCAATGGATAAACAAGTTACAGCATCCCAGGTCGTCTATTTTCGGAATACCAAGACGCCCATTTGCATGTTGATTATGCAAATTCCGATTTATTATATAATTTTGTTTTAAATCCAGGAAAAAGGTCGCGCATAATGTGGAGGAGAAACTCAAACTGGACTGGATTTGTTGAATTCGGGGCGATCGCTTTGCATGTGAACTAACAGGACGCTCATGAAGCTTACATTCCCCAAGCACATTTTTCTCAACATACTGGGGCCATCCTCATTTTCTCGGTCATCTTTTATTCATCAACGGCAGTTAGAGGTATTCAGGTGCGTTAGCGCGTAATGATGTAAATATAGAAGGAACAGAAACAATGTTAAGGACACGGTAAATAGACAAACAAATCAGGCAAACGATTTTTATTTCTTCAGTTACTTTCGGAGGGTTTTAGCAGCTGCAAAAATATGCAATTTTTTGGCGTTACAATTTCCTAGTATTTAGGAGGTCCATACGAGGCAAATCCTGCCACTTGAGCGCTTTGGTTGCTGCTGTCGGGACTTTCTGCGCCCCCCTGCCGCTGCTCTTCTTCAGGCTGCTCAGTAGACGCCACTGCACTTTCCGCCTCCTCCGGTTGGCTGGGGGCGATGCCACCTCCAAAGACCTTCTGAGAGTCCACGAAGTCGTTGCCGAAGGTGACTGGGCTCGGGGAAACACTCAAGCCAAATTGCGCATTTTCCTCCTGCTGGGAAACTTGCGAAGAAATGCGGCTCTCAAAGTGGCTAGCTGGAGTGGAGGACTCGAACACTTGACCGGGAACGTCGGGATGAACGGCGCCAGCAGGAAGATTAGCAATAATCTGGCCATTGGCTCCATGTTTGCTCTGGATTTCCGCAACAGCAGCTTCGGCTTCTTTTTGCGTCTTGTACTTGATGAAGAACACTTCGGGCTTGGGTTGAGGGAGCGCAGCTCCTGCTTGGAATCGCACTGTTGGTTTGCCTTCAGGCTTCTTCACCAAAACGTACACCAGCGTCTTCTCTTCAGTTTGCGGGGGGGCAGGCACGTTGATCACGGCCTTGTTGCGGTAGGCTGGCGCCTTGATGAAGATGATCTTGTACGTCTTCTTAGGTGGAGCTGCAGGCAGGTCGATCTTGGCCTCCACTTCCTCTTCCTCCTCCTCTTCGGGGGCGGCGAAGAAGTACAGCTGTTTGGAAACGTCCGAGTCTGCGCTGCTGGCAGCAGCAGCGTCCGTCGCTACTCCGAAGGCTTCGTTTAAGCTGCCGGCGCTTCCCGCATTGTTGGATATTTCGGGGGCAAATTGGGAAATTCCGAAAGATGGCACTTGAACAGTGGGCTGGCTGAAAGAGGACAGAAATTGGTAGCTGTTGGGCTGGCTGTACTGGGCAAAGTCGATGGATGAGGGCGTGGAGACCTGCAAACCGGACAGATCCACACTTGGAGCGGCAGTGGAAAAGTCCCCGTAGGGGGATGAGGTGGAAACTTGCACTCCCCCAAAGTCCACACTTGGAGCAGGGGTGGAGAAGCTGTTGAAGCTGTGCAGCTGCACCCCACCGGTCGACGGGGACCCGAAGGCGCCGCTGTAAGCGTAGCTGGGCAAAGACAGCTGCGGAATTTCAGCACTTTGGGCACTGTTTCCTAGCACTGAAGCGATGGGGACGCCGTAGCTGGTTGGGGGCGCTGCGCCCTCATACTGATACCCCCCAGCTTGCCGCTGATTGAGCAAATGTTTGACGTCAGCACTGGCAAGGGTGGCCAAAAGCGCCGCTATCTGCAAAGCCGCCCACTCGAATAGAGCCCCCACTTAAGCTACATTGAGCAGATACTTACCAGCAAGTTCTGCATGGTGGATCGACTAGAATGGTTTGTGATGGGAAGATGATAATGAAAAGCATTTATAGTGGCTCCCCACCCAAAGCAGGACATCCTATTGTCAAGGTTGAATTAACATGTTAAGAACATTAAGAAAAAATTTGTAAAATTCATCACCTTGTTATATCGGCTGTATGAATATGAATTCGTTCACCATTAGTGTGGTCAGATGGACGCGATTACGTAATCGTCCGAATCGGCTATAAAATCTTAAACAAACACATGTGTGTAAATGACGGTGGCGGAATCGGAAAAATAGCGAAGCCCCGCAGGCGAAACTCGGTTGGCAATCAAAAGTGCCGCCGTTTACCCGAAAGCCAACAGATAGCAATCCTTTGCCCGTTCAAACTAATTAAGTCACTATTTACCCATTTTGAATGGGGTTCGTTAATACTGAACAAACAGCCAAATTGTAAAGAGACTGTCGAGGTGTTGAACATTTTTCCAATCCATTAGAAAAAAAAAACATTTTTCTTCTAACCTGAGAAGTCACCATTATGTACTCCATTTCCCTAGTGAGGGGTAATTTTTCTCTCCCCAGTTCAGTAATAATAATAAAGTAACTAATGGGTTTTTAGGCCGTCGTTCGGTAGAGTTTCTTCCTGAAGTTTCGCAAGCACGAGTGGCTTGCATCTTCAGAAGTGGTTTGCTTGAACAGTGTAAGCGCTCAATGGCCTTTTCAGAAAGTGAACCATCGATAAGGAAATGTTGGCAGTTTTCTCAAAAAATGCTTCAATTCAAGAAGTTTTACATTTGCGTGGTTTTTGTTTGAGTTGCAAAATCCACTTGAACATGACGCTGCTTTTTTCGAAGTTTCTCAAGAACCATTCGAGCCACAGAATTCGTTTTGGCATCGTTGGATAGARAATTGAAAAGTCGATTCAGTCGTAACAACGTGAGTGAGGAAATTCGAGTAGTTTTGACCCAGAAAGCGAAATTTGAATATCACACACTTAGGGGCAAGATTATGCCAAAATTCCATGTTTCCCGTCCCGTTTTTGCCCATTTATCGGAAGCAAAAGATGCAAGAACGCTCATTTGTATATCATTCTAGAGAGAAATAAATGGCCTTTTCAGAAAGTGAACCGTCGATCAGGAAATGTTGGCAGTTTTCTCAAAAAATGCTTAAAAAACTTAAAAAACAAAAAACGCTTACACTGTTCAAGCAAAGCACTTCTGAAGATGCAAGTCCACTCGTGCTTGCGAAACGTCACGAAGAAATTCTACCAAACGACGGCCTAAAAACCCGAAAAACCCATTAGTTTCAAGGAAAGGCCTCAAAAATGTGTTTCTTGATAATAATAAAGTACCTAGGTAAAAAACGGCTGGTTCGAATGAAGAGCAATCCACGAAAGAAGTCCAATTTTCGACCACTTTGGTACCACTAGATCGTGAAAAAACACATCAAACAGTGAGTTAACGACGTCTAAATAGTAGTTTTCGGATTTTCGATTTTCATCGCTCCAAATTCGACAATTTATTTCGAAAATCGCTGTTTAGTTCATTTTACCGAGCGCTTAATAAGACATAATCGTTCTTGGGCCAATTGTTGCGTAAATAAACAGAATTGTCGGGTTTGAAGCGTCGAAAATCCAGAAGCCATTATTGAGACCTCGTTATATCCAAAAAAAAAACAGTTTTTTGCGCTTTATGGTCGTGATCTTTGTTATTAAGCATTATTTTTAAAGTGTTCCATGTTTAATTAGAAGCATATTGGAATATTTAAGCCTTCGAACTCGAATACAAGAAGAGTGCATAAAAGTTGATTACACAGGCACTTGTTTGGAGTTAGAGACTCAAATCAACCAAATGTATGTTTTTGTAGTTTGTAAACAAATTAATAATTCGAGGTTATGAGTTTCGAAATAAGTTCCGTCATTCAACGATTCCTGTTGAATTTACCGTTTATCCTTGTCTGGCTTATTGTCACTTTCTCTATTTATCCCTGGTTACCGGAGTTTTAAATAATTGCGAAGCAACAGGTATTTACGAAATGTTAATTAGGCAGATTACCTCGAAAAACATTGTTGCCGTTTTTCTCATATAGTTTTTTGCAAATTTCTCAGTTTTTAGTAACAATTAATTTTATTTACTATTTTTTCTGTACTCCTAAAACACCACCCCTTTGAATCACCCGGTATGGCCCCCTCCAGCGTCGTTCCAGATGCTTTTCTCTATTAATCGCAACTGTAATTTGAAAGCAAATAATTGCTTCCTGCACGGCCAAATAAAAATCAGCAAATTTACTTTGAAAGACAAAAAGGCGCGATTTATGCCGAGAAAAGCTAAATTAGCGAAAAAGACATGGTCGAACTGACTTCCAATGGCTATGAACACGTAATAATTTTCCTATATTTCAAGAGCTTCTTTATTGATTACCTGAATTAAGGAAATCCTTCGTTTTGTTATGAATAAATACTGATCACAAAATTTGGTTTACCAGTTATGTAATATTTAAACTGAGTGTGGGCTTCTTTCAGCGTCTCTTAGCCAAAGGAAGACAAATTATGTTGAATTGTTTGATCGCGGCAGTATGGCCAAGGATTTTACTAATTAGGATTAAATTCCGGTGATCTATGAGTCGACCGATTTTTCATCCAAACAAATTGGGCAGTTATTAAAATTATTATTGATTAATTAGACTTGAGAGGTTTTGCACTGGGAAAACAAATTTGCACGGTACCGAACGAACGTCGTCTGACCTACTGTTTTATGCAGATCCAACGCGCTAAATGGCTTATGCAAGAACTAGTTTGAAATGGGCAGTCGATTTACCGTGAAATCATCTGAACGTTTCCGGAAATTTGCATATTTTTCTAAATTAGTTGAAACAAGGTTAGGCCGAGTGTAGAAGTTGTTTATGAAAATTTCGGGGGTTAATTAATGCAATTGGGACCATTGTGCAATGATCCAAACACGGAGAGCCATCAGCTAATGTAAAACTGCGTGAAAAAACGTTTTAGGGCGCATTTATGGTTTATGGTGGATGGTTTTAATCAACCTCGCAATCAACACATGTTCTGTCTGATTTGATCGCGCTCACCCTGTACGAACCTGTTAATGGCCAATTCAAAGCAATTCGTTCAATGTTATGAGAAACGATGTGTTTATTTACTATAAAAACTACATTAACACTTGGTGCCATCTTAATTGGTTCGGATCGCGGTAGTGCAATACTGCCTTGACTTCGGGAATTAACGAACATGATCAAATTTGATTTGATTGGTTCGATTGATGGCTATGATTATTACAGATTATTTAATTTCATTTTTACCAAAAGAAGCCAATTTTGGACATTTTGCATCTGCAAAACCCTATCGAATACCGTTGGTTGATTGAGGGCTTCTGAGGCAAAGTGAACATCGACTTTTCTAAGCAGTTTGGCCCCTTTTATCCAATGTGGTGTTTACAAATGAGTTTTGTTTTGCAAAACTGTTCACACACACTTTCGTACCATCGTATTTTTGAGGCAAAATACCCAAAAAGAAGTTTGTAAAAAATGAATCCGCCTCAACAATATAGAACTTATCTACAAAATGTCAACCTAATTAATTGACTCGTTAACATTGATGAATCAGAATCCTTGACTGCCTGCGATCCTCTCGTTGCCCACACCTAATCTTTCACCAATTTTCCCAAACTAAATCACACATATTCAAATCGAATGAATACATGAATATATTCGGTTGCATTATGAGCTCACCATTTCTCACAGCCTTGCCTGCCTTATTTATGCGAATTCAACTCGGCTGACTTAATTAGATTACGATCGTCACCTACATTCCAAATGAAATGGAGTTTCACCGTTTCTGATTTTGGATTAATTGGGGTTTTAACCTTTCGATTTCAATCTGGTACTGAAATAATTGCGCGATAGCTTTAGTAGGGGTTTGCAGGATAACAAGATCTGCCCGATTCTAGCGAACGCTTTAGGTGATCTAGATGATTCTAGATGCTAAAATAATGGTGGAAAGTAGAAAGTCATGTAACAAAAATTCAAAACCTGAAAATTCTTGAGAAACTTCGAAAAAAGCAGCATCATCAAGTGGATTTTGCAACTCAAAAAACGCAAATCTAAAACTTCTTGAATTCAAGCATTTTTTGAGAAAACTGCCAACATTTCCCCATCCATGGTTCATTTTCCAAAAAGGCCATTTATTTATCTCTAGAATGATGTACAAATGAGCGTTCTTG